TTTTGAACACACATGCTTTGTGGATAACAACGCTGTGTGCTGAAAAAATATTACAATTTTTGCTTCTCATTGGTCATTTTAGATGTCCAATATTTTTGAGTATTTCATTTGTTGAGTATTGATCGTTGAGCTAAGAACTGGCATCACAGCACTTGGAGCATTTCCATTAGCCCTTCGTTCTCTTCTTCTCAGCCAGTGAAGAGTTCGAATTCCGATGGTGCCTATATCAGTTTGATTATGTCTTGTCTTGCGTTTTCTCTGAGTATAGAGTATCGACCACATCTCCTGGTCACTCATATCTGTACTTTTCTCTCCAGAACATAATGATCTATTCGTGCCTTCGCATTGTTCACCTGCTTCCAAAGAGCCTTGACTACATTTGGCTTGTTATGCATACATTCATCATTTATTGGTGCAGATCCAGCCAGTGTGACTGTCTATTCATTTTCCAAAACTCTGAAGAAAATATCTAAAGAACGCTAACCACTTTGGACCTTTGAAGCGTTGCTTGCCTTTCGGCACGAAGTATATTTGTCTCCTCCTTTCTGTACATGACTTGAAAGGATTGACCTTTTGGCGTCAGTGTAGATGAATGTAAATGTAGTAATGAATCTGGCCAGCTCACCGAAACATGCCAGGCAATAAATAAATTTGTTTTTGTCTTCAGTATTTAAATTTAACAAGTGTAAAACACTTTGTTCTGAGTTTAAAAAACTAAGTTACGAATTTTATTATAATTGTGTACATTTATTATAACAATTCTGAAGTACAGTTTAAACAAAATAATCATGTAAAAATAATTTGTTCTCAAATATGTGTAGTAGATGAGTGGATATGGGTTGACTGTCTTCCTCTCACAATTCTAACAGAGTAGGCTTGTCAGACATTGATAGATTGGTTCTGTCATTGAAGAAAAATGATAAGCCCAATAAAATAGTTTATATTTTATAGACATACTGATTATGACAATATTTTTATAATCTTCCTTTTTTTTTTTTTTTTTTTTGAATTCTTATGTTTTCATGTTGTCTCATTTCCAGTTGAGAATACGACAGCCAGAAGAAGACAGCTTTCTTGGGTGGGACAATTATCTTGATATTAAAAAGGGCTAACAACTATTTATAGCTGGACTAGGACAAATTTATTATCGCTGACCCCGTCCTCAACGTTTCTCTCCCTCACTCTCACTCGATCCCTCTCTCCCCTATCTTTCTATGTCTATCTAACGTATTTTAAAAAAAAACTGTTACATATACCTAGCACTTGTATCCACACATCACATCACAGTAGCGAACTCTCACACCTACCTGTATCCTCACATCACGTCACAGTAGCGAACTCACACACACTTGTATCCACACATCACGTCACAGTAGCGAACTCACACACACTTGTATCTACACATCACATCACAGTACCGAACTCTCACACATTTGTATCCACACATCACATCACAGTACCGAACTCACACACACTTGTATCCACACATCACATCACAGTACGGAACTCTCACACATTTGTATCCACACATCACATCACAGTACCGAACAATAAATGGGCATGTTGTTTCTCCTCTGTTCCATTCTTTGCAAGTCTGTCTGCTAACTCATTTCCTGATATGCCACAGTATCCCTGGTAACCCACAATCAATTTGGTAATGTGAAGGCATCATAAAATAAATAGTGTAAACGCATCATCAAACTGGTTAAGTTAACACATCATGAAATGGGTAATTTCAACGTATCAACGAAGATAATATAGATAATACTAAAACATCAGGAAACTAAGATTATAGGCTACAAAGTTTCCGACATAAAGCTCCCAACATCTCTCAAGGTGAAGCCCGCAGTTTGTATGATGTTCAGGATTGTATAAAAGTGTTGCTTGACTCTCTCCCATCTCGATGGCTCCTTCTCTATCTGAAACAGCAGATCGACTAGCCCGGGGAAGCTGCTGCCAGCGTAGGCATCGTTGCTGTTCTCAGCAAAGATGACATGCCTGAGGAAGATAGAGACAAATACCCAATATAATATCATGTTATATCGTAAACAGGGAGGTGACTTCAGTCAAGCTGATGACAAGTGCTAAATACAACATAAAATGTGACCAGAAAGCTAAGCTGAGGGAATGACCAAATACAACTGAACGTTTCGACTAGAGTCCTTATGTCAAAGACCTAACATCATGTTGTACATGCATGTAAAATGTATAATTCTTTAAAGTTTGTTGCATATGGTCTTAATGACATCGCAAACCTAGCATTTACTGGCGATTGTCTGGTTTTACTCCAACGATCTTCGCCCTTGCTGTACCCGCAGACTGGAGAAAAGAAAAAATGGAACTTCTCACAAACTTGCCCGCACGGCGAGAGTTCCTTCACTTCCTATTCATGCCGTGGCTGGTCGCACGGTCTGTCCTATGGTATGGGGGAGGTAAGAAAAATGTAGTTCGCGTACCGGCTGACAGCTACGACATAAAAAAAACAAGCGTAGATTAAAATATATACAGTTTGTGCCGTCTTTATAATGGAGGTTGGCTGCAGCTCATCAACCAGTGTCTTTTGGAATAGTATGTGCAGAGAACCCAATCTCTTCCATGGTGGAAATCTGTTACAACTGTCTGGAAGCAACAGTAACGACATTTTTTTTTTTAAATAGCAGCTGAGATAATCGAACCCTGGAACATCAAGGATTGTGAAACGATGTTACTTACCTCTAAGACTCAGGACAGCACTAAATGTATATATCCTTTCATATGTTAAGTCATTGCTATTAAATTACAAAGTTAAGCTAATGCGACATGAGCTGACGTTACAAATAAAATAAAATCAGAATTGAAAATATATAACTTTTTTTTTAAACCTTGAAATTTAGAAAGCCAAATTTTGTTCAATCTTTTGCAAGTTGTTGCTATCTAGCCATTGCATGTCATCATATCTTTCTTTTTATTTTCTTGACTACCAAATTAAAACCTAATTAGGTAAACTGATCTATTACTTAAGTCGTTTTGTCTCGTGTTATATCTGCTTCATCTGCTATTTGTGTTTTTAAAATATTTATCTGTTCATAACTTATTTTCAACTTTTGATGCTGTATTTGCTAAATCCTCAGTTTTTCCTTAAATGTAATAGTCGTTTTTATCTAGCGAAACAATATTGTCAGCAACAATCGAGATCTTTCAACTGTGTGTACTATACATTGATTTAGTATACTTTACTTTGTTATAGACTACTTTACTTTTAACTTTATTAAATAAAATACACAACACTACATTATTTTACTTTTGTTTGCATATTTTACTTTCTTTCCTTTATTTTCGCTTGCCTTTGCCAAGAGTGTTGTGGGGATTCCATCCTTTAATTATCATAATTTTCTGGTAATTGCTCTGTGACATGTCTTAACCTAAAATATGTAAAGACATCCCAACAACGCTGATGTGGATCCCTCATTATCAGTAACTCCCTGTTTATAAAGCTAGGTTTACAGTTTGAACCTAGACGACGGATTGTATATTCCGACACACATAGCTTGCAGAGGTATTAACCAGCTACTGAGAAGATATGATGCACAACTGATATCATTCCTGGAAAAGGAATGCAGGTTCGGGAATCAGGTAACAATCGCAGACATGAGGTAGGAGGCGGAGACATAACATTCCTAGCTGCAGAACCGTGCACGAGGAAAATGTTCATAAGTACTGATCGACACTCACAGAAGTAGTGGGAATAAACAACGACCTAATAATACATCAGGAAACGTAAAGTTATCATTCCGGTGTGGTTACTATAACTTTTAAAGATTATGTTCTCTAGTGACTCTGATATGTTTTCTCCCATTGCATCTGACAGGCAGAGATGGAGAGAGCTGTTTAGACCGTCCACATCCGACGACACACAGTGTTATGGGACTGTAATGATAATGAGTGTATCTTCTAAACCTTGTTTTTCTTTCCTCTGCTTCTATAAGTGTCAGTCAATACTTATTTACCACACTATTTTAAAAAGTTATTAATAGGAGACATGATCGAATTCAATGTATCCAGTTTTCTCCCATACAGATCAGTCTTTCTCCGCATTCTCACACAAAGAATGGAACTCTGGCAACTACTACTAACATTACCAGGAACACATGCACTAACAAACTAAAGGACTAAAATTAGCATCACAGCATTCAGATTTCGAAGAAAAGCTCTTAACCTCTTCGCCACATATTTTTACAACATGAAACGCTTAAAATTTTCAGAAAAAGTTCATTTGTAATGTGCCAGCGAGTAAAGTCCTCTACTTGCTAACATTTTAGAAATTAAATATTATTCCACCTACATCTTTCGTTTGTGATAGTTGTTATAAAAAAAAAGCATCCACTTAAGGAATTCTACACATTTCTACACACTGTATCTTCGCGCGTTACAATCAGAAGCCTTTGACTCTAGCTTGCTGTACTCATTTTAACCTCGCTAAATGGTATAGAGAATTGAAACTCCTTAAGTAATGTGAACTTAAAAACAGAAATGTTAAGGACAATTTTCCACGCTTTTGGGCGTTTTGGGTATATAGGGCTTAACCAAATTGTATAGACCAATAGGCACTGTGTTGGTGATGTGGTCACCATCACGCCGGTCGCCTTTACTTTCCGGACTGTACCTGATATCTATTCAAGATAGGTCGGCTTGAGAGCCATGGTCATTTCTGAAAAACATCCGGCTTTGCCAGGACCCGAACCCACGACCTTCCGATCTTCAGACGAGCATCTAGTTACTACATCACGATTTCTCCTATTGAGTAATATGATCAACATTTTTATCACAGCCTTTACTTCCCATGGTAATTCCCTAATAACCATTTTAGGCCTAAAAAAAACATATGGATTCGAATTTATGATCGCCGGGCAGAAAGGTAATTACATTAGCCACTGCACAACAGTGGACGTAGTCCTTGAACTTTCCTAAACAGAAGCGTCTGGCAGATCTCTTTTGCTAAAAGATGGAAATGAGGGACTTACTTCTTCAGTGGCCTGGCCGGTAAACCATCTGGGTGCAGGAAAGCTTTCTCTAGTAACAGCAGTTTATCGTTGATCTCACGCAGGGCGTACGGGCTGAAAGAGAGAACACGTATCTTGCATACATCACGTTAGTATTTTGTTGGATTGTGCCAGCACAAAATTACTAAATTCTCTGCAAATTTTTGCTGATTTACATGGGAACCGAACGACGCTTTGATGAAACGACTTTCAGAGCGAGAGGCACAAACATGTATGACAATTGTAATGGACTCTGAAAGCTTGCTAACACAGGTGAAGAGAGGATTGCTTCGAGCAAAGTGGTCAGCTTTACTTCCAATGTCACAGGTAGTGAGCATACTTTGGATCATTGGTTGGATCTGCACCGATGGGTGGTGAATTTATACTGAAAAGGCAGATGTGGTCAAAGCCCTTTGAGAACAACTAACGAAGTCAGAGGAGAAACTAGATTATTATGGGCTGGAGAGAATGATGCACCTGGGTGTGACCAGAGGGTTCGACCAGCACACTTACTACGACCCTCATCATTAGTATTGGAACTTAGCGCTGGCTGTTGAGTATGGGGACGGAGCGAGTGTGGGAATGCCCTAATGCTGTTATATCAATTCTTGACTCAACTCATCTCAACTCAGAGCGAGAGGCAAACACCCCGCCCACCTAGCCATAAAGACTTCTCAAGTTCAAAAACTGTTGGCGTAGTTGTTATTGGGCTCTTTGTCGAGACAGTGTCTCTGTCCAGCCCCTTTAAGCAGAGGGACTATGCCTGACTCCTGGGGCAACATCATCATCATCAAGTACCTTGCCAGCTGGTGTAAGCGTTCATGCAATTTCCATAAATCTCAGTCCTTTTTGTCCTGAATCAAATCCGCTGATGATCTTCCTCCATGCCAGCATTATTTCTCTTGGTTGACCTCAATCTCGGACTGGGTCAAATCAGTCTAACATTTTTTTTTTGCGTATTCTTTATAGGATGTTGCGAAACCAATCCCATCATTTTTTGGGGGCTGTTGTAGTTTTTCGTAGGCAAGTTCACGTCCGGTAGTTTGCCATTGCTTTCTAGACGGTCGGCTTCTTGATACCACTGTCGAAACCAAAGCAAGGCACAAGGCCCGCAGCTGGGATCGAGCCCGGCACTCCGGCATTACGAAGCGTGTTCGCAACGTCTAAGCCACTGACGCCCACCAGCCTAACCTAATAGGCATTTTTACCAGACAATTTCTATAATGTTCTGAGAAGAAAAGGCAATGAGGAATGGAAATAATCACTCCACATTATACATCGTGGTCGTGTGTCTGTCTTTTTCCCGTCTCTGGGGCTACTACATAAAGGTTAGATTACCACTGAGACTTCAAAAATCTTATTCTGGATGGAGGACCAGCAGGGTAAACTCCACTCTGTCTAGAGTCTAGCAAAGAGTACATTATTATAGCTGTTGAGTTTTTAACCTTTTCGGTTATGTTTTTTAGGAATGTTTTCAGGTTTTTTTTATGTAAGGAATGTAACCAAGATAGAGAACTTTTAAAATTTAGTATTTAAGATAACGTCCCTTAGTTTCTACAAAATTGCCCAAATAACTCAGTCTGTTTCAGTATAGACTCAGCTCGAGGAATCATCATCACATAAAACATTTACCTCTAAGTAACTCCGGCAACAACTACTTAAGCAGGAACACCTGCACTAGCCGTGTTAGCACAGTCGATAGGAGGCTCGCTTTCAAAATCAGCTGCGACACGCTGCAGCCACGATCAATGTTCGAAACCGGGCAGTTCCCGGGGTTTGCCCAGCCTCTAGTAAACTGGTACCAGAGTGACACTCTGGGGTAAATGGAGGAAGGTTGCTGTAGCTACAGAGTTACGTGCGGACGGTGACACAGGCGGGCAGTTTCTTATTAGCTGTCCTTACTGGTGGCAAAACACTTATCGTTTATAACCGCGTGCAATGACGCTCGTTCACATCTCACGACTTTACATTTACCTTTACATGCACTAGCAAACTGAAGGACTTGACATGAAATCAACATCACAACATTCAGAGTTCAAAGAAACACTCCTGCTTCTCTGGCGGTATCTTCTATAGGTCATATCTTTATTGTCAATCAGTTCATCATTTTTTCTTTTAAATTATGGAGAGACTTCGAGGCCCCACTGGTGGAGTTGAGAGAAAAAGAAGGGAAAAGGGGGGGGGTGGGGTGGGGAGGGTGTTGTATACACTGACTGACTGACTTTCTACCCCATTAGGAGATAACACAAGCAATAAACACCCAATGACACAATGTGCCACCATGTGGATGAGGATCACAGTGGAGGGGTCCCAGAAACCGCGTTCAGCCTTTAGGCCATATTTATGGCCAGGCTATATTGCGGTACCTGGCAAAAGCCAGAGTAGGGCTTCAAATAACGAAACATTTCATCCTGAAAAAAAAGGAGGAAAAGTACATACTAGACAAGAATATACACTCTGCCCCTTCCCCTAACAAGCGTTTCGTAACAAGCCACAAATCTGGGGTTTGCTGATATTAGATGTGTTGGTCGAAAAGCCAGCTGTAAAACTCAGTTTGCCAACCGTGCTTTAAAAAACAATTCTCTATAAAATACCTAAACTGCCATTTTGAATAAAAATAACACTGAATACATGTCTACACGTCTTCTTGTCCAGGGCAAGCCAGACTAATTATTTTAAATTTGTAGACACCAAGGGACGTTATCGTCAATTATGAATTTTACAAAGTCCCTATCACAGCTATATACCTTACTTTAAAAAAAAAATCCTTACAATAAAACCGAAAAGGTTAAAAACACAACAGATTTAATAATTTACTCTGGGCTAGCTCATAATTTAACAGCTTTTTATGACAAATAAAATACATATAGCTCAAGAAAAAATGTTTGTGTTTATAGAGACTATGGAAAATGCTCTCACAGTTTTTGCTACGGCTACCGTTGACGGTTTCTGCTGCCCCTGCTACTCTTACTACTGCTACTGCTACTGCTACTACAACTTTTACTACTGCTACTGCTGCTGTACCTACAACCTTTACTACTGCTACTTCTGCTGTCCCTACTACTTTTACTACTACTACTTTTACTACTGCTACTTCTGCTGTCCCTACTAATTTTACTACTGCTACTGCTGCTGCACCTACTACTTTTACTACTGCTACCGCTGCTGCACCTACTACTTTTACTACTGCTACTGCTTCTGCACCTACTGCTTTTACTACTGCTACTGCTGCTGTCCCTACTGCTTTTACTACTGCTACTTCTGCTGTCCCTACTACTTATACTACTGCTACTTTTGCTGTCCCTACTACTTTTACTACTGCTACTGCTGCTCACCTACTACTTTTGCTACTGCTGCTGCTGCTGCACCTACTACTGTTGCTACTGCTGTTGCACCTACTACTTTTATTACTGCTACTGCTTCTGCACCTACTGCTTTTACTACTGCTACTGCTGCTGTCCCTACTACTTTTACTACTGCTACCGCTGCTGCACCTACTACTTTTACTACTGCTACTGCTTCTACACCTACTGCTTTTACTACTGCTACTGCTGCTGCCCCTACTGCTTTTACTACTGCTACTTCTGCTGTCCCTACTACTTTTACTACTGCTACTTCTGCTGTCCCTACTACTTTTACTACTGCTGCTGCACCTACTACTTTTGCTACTGCTACTGCTGCTGCACCTACTATTTTTGCTACTGCTGTTGCACCTACTACTTTTACTACTGCTACTGCTGCTGCACCTACTACTTTTACTACTGCTACTGCTGCTGCACCTACTACTTTTACTACAGCTACTGCTGCTGCACCTACTACTTTTACTACTGCTACTTCTGCTGCACGTACTACTTATACTACTGCTGCTGCACCTACTACTTTTACTACTGCTACTGCTGCTGCACCTACTACTTTTACTAATGCTACTTCTGCTGCACCTACTACTTTTACTACTGCTACTGCCCCTACTACTATTACTACTGCTACTGCTGCTACTCATACTACTATTACTACTACTACTACTGCTACTTCTGCTGCCCCTACTACTTTTACTACTGCTACTACCCTTACTACTATTACTACTGATGCTGCTACTACTACTACTCTTACTACTGCTACTACTGATGCTACTATCTGGTATTGATAAAAATAACAATGAACTAAACAACTAGTAACCAAATCATTGTCCACATTTCTAAAAGAGAGAAAATGTCACCTTACTCAACTAACAGCCTTCCCGTGTGGGTTCTGGGGTCCCGTTGTAGAAAAAAAAATAAGAACAGACCCATTGCAGAAAGCATGGCGTAGGAGTTGACTAATTTGTGGCTTCCTTCAAAATCGGAGTGCAAAAAGCCAGAGGTGTAAAAATTAGGTACATGTAACACTCGGTGTCTGCAACAAGACTAAAGTCCGGAAGTGGACGAACACCATGAACTTTCAGTCAGTCTAAACAAAGCAATCTACTATAAAATAATTGTATGTTTTGTTATTTTAAAGCAGCTTACTAAGCTACAACACTTTTTAAGGCTATCCCACATTGAATGTAATAAGATAAGAAGAAACTCAACAGGGAAGCATGTACAGCAGAAGTCTACCAATTATCAGTAGAAGTATCTCCCGTCGACAAATGTTTCGGCCCACAAGCTCCTAGACATATTCAGAGAGTGGGCCCACCTGAGTTCATGAAGCTCAGGGTTGGTTTCTCCTGCTGCACGTATTACCGGATGTTATCGGACAGGGACAAGACGAATTGGTGACTTTGCAAAAGGTACTGTGAGATAAGAAGTCGTTGCGGTAGCATAATTAAAGCAGTCTGCATACCTGGACGACCGAGTGGCAAGCTTACGTAATAATAAACCTGGAGCAGAACAAATTTAAATAGATGTTTGAATTCAGCAAAAGTGCCTTGCCAACTGGCGTGGACGATCATGCTCTCAATTATCTGCGATCCGCAAACTACGTAATCAGTTTGCGTGTTGATACTCTTGCATGCCACAACAAAAGACAGTCAAGAATCTTCTGACGCTGTCTTCTTGAGTCTTCCCACGAATCTTTCCAGTGGTCTTAACACGTTCTATTTTTCCCTCTTCCCTTGACATGTTTGGATTAGCTAAGATAATCAGTGTCTCAATAAACTTCGAACGAAACCACATTAATGAACCATTTGTATCACATGGGGTTGCGTGGTCTCGAGGTATGGTGTCCGCCTCGAGTGTCAGAGGTTCGGGGTTCAATCCCCGGTAAGGGCTGGGATCTTTTTTAAGTCGGCTTGGACTTCTAGTTATTCCCCCTGGTCTCTGGGTAGTGAGATCGGACGCCTGTATGCATTGTTGCGCACCCAAAAAATCCCTTTGCAGTTGGAATCTCTATCTATCTTCTTATACCCCACCAGGACATCACACAAGCGATAAACACCAGATGACAAAAAGTGCCACCATGTGGATGATGATCACCTGTGGAGAGGTCCCAGAAACCGCGTTCAGCCATTAGACCATATTTATGGCCGGGCTATACTGCGGCCCGCGGCAAGAGCTAGAGTAGAGCTTCAAATACCAAAGAATTGCATTCCACAAAGAGATGACAAGTACAAAAAACAAAGTACATTGCAGTTGGAAATCGAAAGAAGTAGCCTAACGGCGCTGCCCAAGTAAAAATTTGGCGTTACAAATCTACCCAAAGTATTTGGGGATCCTCGCTGCGCTGTGCTGAGCCTCTTCGGACTCAGACTTGAGTTAGAAGAAGAATTGAGCACTTATGTGTTACTACCCGCGTTCCATGATGTTGATCCGTTGTTCAAACCTCAAACCTTGTATCATCACGGCTGCCCTCATAGTCTTTGTTTCTCTCCTCACTCAGAGAAACAGGATCACTTACTTAGTTTTGTCCACATTTTCTAGCAAGGCTTCAAACCGAGATGCATCTTGGGCAAAGCCTTTTATAACAGATTCCAATTTATCTGGAAAATAAGATAATTTAAATGAACGAAAACATAAATAAACGGACCTAAAGGCGCACACGATCCGCATGCACAATCCAGAAAACATAACATTCACATAACCTATAAACGCCGCGTGGGATTAAAGCTCCAATATAGCGGAGGAAAAAAAAAAGAGAAAAGAATATATCCATCGTCTCCAACAAACATGTAGTTCTTTTTCCGCTTTTCTATCCCCCAATGGAGCATAGAGCCTCAATAAATTTACGAGAAGTATTCTATCCTTCGCTATCTCTTGCAGCTCTGCCCATCTTTTTAACTTCACTCTCCAGCTCCAATCTGTTTGTGTTCTTTGGTCTTCCTTTATTTTTATGCCCCTGTCAGTTCTAGTGCAAAGACATTCTAGTTATATTATTCTCAGGTATTCTCAAATTGTTTTGTGAGCCATTAATCAGGGGTTATCTGAAACTTAATGTTTTGGGTCGCAATATGTAGATATCGGAGCCCAGCAGAAAGCCATTTAAAAGGCAACCGCACTATCATCCTGTGAGGCAGAATTTGATTGTCTGTGTTAATTTATGGCATGAATGGTCTCACGAGAAGATGGATGAGGCCTCCTCATTCTTTGTTAACCTGCTGTAAGCTCGGTGGAAAGTCCTGGTCCTCCCAAACAAACATGTCGTAAGAGTCGACTAATTGGGAGCTTTCGTCAAAGTCGCAGTGCATCTGTAAACGAGGCAATGAACAACCAGTCTGCATACAAATATGCAGTAAGATCTGTAAAACGGTTGCACACGAAACACTCAGGTCCTGTATCAAAGTGCAGAAATGGACGAACAATCAATCAAGTATGTCCGCTGGGCTTACAGACAGTGAACGCAGACAACAAAGAACAATAATGCTAGGTCAAACCCAGTGTAATCATCATCATTATCATCATCATCATCATTATCATCATCATCAGGTAGCAGCTCCATTACAGAACGTCATTTTCATCACAACTTATTTGAAAGAAATACGGTCTCTCGCCAGCTTCACTGCCTCATGCACATTCCCACCCAAAGTGTCTCCAATGTCCTGCTCCCCCTCCCCCCTCACTTCCCACCTTTCTCCTGATCGGCCCCTGCCTCCTGTAGCTGGAACCTAAAGGTTTACTGGCCAGGAAAAAAAATCTGCTACTTCTGAGGACTAGGAGCAGCTGGCCGAACAATTGGAACGCTGAGTTCTCAAGCGGAAGACCGGGGTTCGAATCCTCGGTAAAGCTGGTGATTTTTTTTTTTTAATGCCGGGGGCAAAATAAAATCCTCACCCGCACATTCGTGACGACAGCACTAGCCATGCGGAAGTCAATCCCCAGGCTCAAAGACCAACGCCCATCCCATTGTCCGCACCCCACAAGTGGTACAATAAGGCAGTAATTGGCAGTTTTTTTCTGCCTCTGAGGATTGAATTCGGACCACTGTCTAGGGAGGCAATAACACTAGCCAATAACCATAAAACGGAGTAAAGATTAAGTGCTTACTGCAAAAACTCTACAGTACCTGAAATATGATATATAAACCCACACAGTATGGTTATGACAAAAAGTCTAGAATACCATAGACCAAAAAAAAAAAAGAGAACAGCGATATCCTACACGATCTGAGAATTGAGGAGAATCAACGCTCATAAGCAACATCGTGTCCCAAAAACTGAAGTATTAAACGACACGCTGGCCAGGACAGAGCGGCGACCGAGATTATAGTTTCCCAAAGGTGATAACGCGACACTTAAGATACTTCAGACGCCTTGGTCATCCACTGCACATAGGTCCATTTTCAATAGTCTTGACATTGTCCTGCCATTGGACCAAGATGGACACAGGCGAGAGAGTGAGTCTGACGAATTGCTCAACACTTCCTCACTTAAATCTAATTCCTTGGGCAAGTCAAACAAACGAACTTTATTTTCAAAGGGTTACAAATTAGGCACGCAGGCCTGTCTTACATTCGGCCCTTCCAAACTCCCATCTATCACTTTCATCTAGCTATCTTAATTTTGGATAAAAGTGGTCTTCATCACGCGTGATGGACGAACAAATACCCGACACTAAGGACGCATTGGATATTAAAGCATATAGGGCTGAAGAACTGGTAAGAGAAGTGGCGACTTACAGGCGTACCGAGACGCGGGCGATGCTCTGTAAAGGACCCACTGACCGAAGATGATGACTTTTATGACAGTATACAGAGTGGCGAGGACACTTACTATAGGTGTCTAATCCAAGATTCTCTTCTAGCAGTGTTCCAAAGTCACGATGTAGTGTCAGACGACAATTCTCCAGCCCTGCAGCGTAGTTGGTCACGTTGAGTGGCAGGATGCGGGAGTCTGCCAAATGTCGAGCTATCTCAGCGCCTACTCGGCCAACAGCAGCGTGGAACTGAATCAGGAATGTAAGGTCAGTAAAACAGTGAAACATTACAAGTGCACTCTTCTTCTTCTTCTGCTTTTCTTACCCCCAATGGAGCATAGGACCTCAGCCAGCTCACGCCAAGTCTTTCTATTGTTCGCTGTCTCATGCAGCTCGCCAGATGTCTTCTCCATCTTTTTTTTTAAACTTCACCCTCTAGCTCCCTTCTCCATGTGTGTTTGGTCTTCCTTTATTTCTATGCCCACGTGGGTTCCAGTGCAATGAGATTCTAAATATACTATTCTCCGGTTTTCTCAACGAGTGTCCTAGCCAACAAGAGGGTCTTTTCTTCACCTCTTGGTCCAATGGAACTTGTTTTGTTCTTTCCCAAAGTTCTACATTAGTGATTCTGTCATACAATTTACTTCTCTTTATTCTACACAGGCTCGATTGTAACCAAGTGAAATTTTCACTCCTACACACACTTTACTTGGAATGAACCATGGCTTTCAACTACCTTGAAATGAACCTTGAAATGCAACAACACTTGAAATGTACCTTGGCTTACGACGTATCGGCTTTCGCCATGGTTCACTTTATGATTACTACAACATAACATGAGCTGCTCGAGGGTTGATAAAACAAACGCCACTTGGCTTCCTTGTACATTCTATCAATTAATTCTGTTACATTTATTCAACATGCTCCAACGATTATTCACACTTCCATCGCTTGCGACACATTCAAACACTGGTCATTCACACGGCATCAGAACTACATCTTCTACTATCACAACCGTCTTCTACGACCTCTGGTAACCAACTGACCACAAGTCTAGCTCAGGTTTCCCCTCGCTTACTCGACCAGCCCCAAGTATCTCGTACTGTCACTTGTTGCAAGGACTTTCTGCTTGTCCCAATGTACGCGTGGAGACCATGCAAAGCACCTCATCACATCTATATGGGGCTAAAGATATAGCACCCTTGTACCCCATACGAACACTGACGTAAAAACAAAAAGGAACCCGGTCTGCTCCAGTGACTCCACGGTCATATGATGCCGGACTCATACTATTAAGACCAATAGGCAATCGGTGGGTGATGTGTTCAACATCACGCTAACATCCTTTACTTCCCAGGAGGTTATCTGTCAATCAATTTAGGCTGGGTTGATCGGGGAGCCAGGATCGTTTTTTTTTTTATCCTCTCTGATAGGAATTTAAACCAATGACATCATGGCCAGTAAGACAGTGCGCTACCGCCGTTCTGCCACATTTCGAGGAATGCTTTGTTTAAACTTCTTCTTCTTCTTCTTCTTTTTTTTTCTTCTTCCTTTTCTTCTTCTTCTTTTACCGCTTCGCGTGTCGGGGGAGATATAAGGTCCTGCTTCGTGCTTTTCTGGCTGCTTCGATCAAAGACATATCGTGGTGGTGTAGAGTTTCTCTGATGTTATCTTCCCATTTTCTTCTTGGTCTGCCTCTTGCTCTACGTCCCTCTCCTCTTTTGGTATATGCCTTGTATAGCATCATAAGGTATTCTCTCCAAGTGAGCAAACCATTTGATTTGCAGTATGTGTATTTAATTTAGAATTAGTTCTGTGCCGACTATATCTCGTATGACCTTATTCCTGATTTTATCTTTTTTCTTTCTCAGACATTTCAATTTCCATGGTTACTAATTTCCTTTTATGTTTTGTTGTGAGCCAGAACAACAAACTGAGAACCTGGACTTTTATATGACTGGCAAGAATCAAACTAATGTCGACAAGTAGATATACATAAGTATAAGGAGAGAAACATATGGACAGAAGATAGGTATGATTGATGGTAGGTAGTTGGGTGGGTAGCAAGTTTGGTAGGAAGGTTTGGTAAGCAGAAAGATAACAAAACATGCTAGCAGATATGTAGAAATTTAGATATTTGGGTAGGTAGGTATTTTGACTCTCTTGTATTAGGTGGAGGCAGATTGAACACGAGACAAGGAGAGATAGACAGAACGAGAAACACATAGACACACACACACACACACACACACTCATATATATGTATATATATATATATATATATATATATATATATTATATATATATATATATATATATATATATATATATATATATATATATAGAGAGAGAGAGAGAGAGAGAGAGAGAGAGAGACAGACAGGCAGACAGGCAGACAGACGGTCATAGAAACATAAAGAATTAAAGACAAAAACAGACAGATGTAGAGAGATTTAAAGTGAGGGACTAATTATATATACCTCAAAGTTTCTGTCCACCTGTTGCTTGACTAAATCAAACGTCTCATATTCAGTGTGGTACAGTGGATATTGTGACATCTGGTATTTCTATCAATGGTAACACGTTTTCGTCAAATCAAAGTAGCAATGATTAACAGCCAATATCTCAAGGTAATCAAGTCACTATAATATCTAGGAGTCTCTGTGGCGAAATGGTCAAGGCGTTAGCCTCGCGCTATGAAGGTCATGGGTTTAATTCACCATTGTGACGTTCAGTTTACGAGTGCCTTTTTTACGGATATCCCTGGGGATTGTTGCTGAAGCTACGGAGTTTGTGCACTGTTGCGACGCTCTCGGTAGGCGGCAAGCCGCTCTGCAGAGACAGAACTAGCCATATGGGATAAAATCCGGTGCTATGAGGTTGATTTAACTTTAACTTCGACTTTCATAATTTTTATTAAATATGTAAATTAGTGAATGTGTTTGTAATGAACTGTTTGGCATAGAGAAGGAAGTTACTAAACTTGACTAAAGTATCCTTGTCAACGCCGCTCACAGTGTCGGACCCATCTCTGTACAGACCAGTCGGTACTCAAAGGGTGAAATGGCCTTCTTTATATCGCTGAATATTTATGAAGATATTCCCGTCGCCATCTTGTGTGTGTGTGTGTGTGTGTGTGTGTGTGTGTGTGTGTAAAACGAGGAGGGGGGTTGGGCTGGGGATTATCAGCGAAGTTTTAAAATTCTAACATAGCGGAGGTCGAAGTTTGCTGCAAGCGATTTGACAACAGACCGATTTTGGTTGATTCTGACTATAATTTAAGCCTGGAACGATGTAGACAACAATGGCAAACTAATGAGCTTAGTACTGCTAAATAAAACCATAAATCGCCAATAGCTGGCGTTGGCTTTCGACGTCCTATACAGAATATGTAACTAACTTATATTAGGCTCAGTTGCTTTTGTCAAATAAGAGAAAGCTTCAAATGAAAACCTCAACAGTGTGATACACAAATTATACTGACCCTGATATTATCTTACAATGTCTTAGTATTGTTGCTAAGGATGCCAAATGTGTTAAACAACTAAGATCACGATAAAGACGGATACATTAACGTCAGTATGATATTTTAAAGATGGTCGTCCCACTTTTGATATTCACCAAAGAGAAACAGCCTTCTGTAATCCTGTTTTGTTGATGTTTGGAGTCTTTTTATTTTTTATTTTTATTTGAATCAGTGAAGGACTGAACCCTACAGGAATTCAGTGGCGAATGAAGGTCCCAGTAGGGGATGCGTTCCTGCCAGTCCAGAAAGCGTATGAGTGGAGGTGGAAGTTTCAAAACAGAGTGACTTCTGTGACCGACCTTTAACGCGGGTAGGCTCACAGGTTAGTAACCAGAGTCGATTTCAGTCGTTGAAGACCTCCCACAGGAAAACCGCCGATAGCGAGACTGACAAGCATGCATTATCATACTGGCCTCCATGTGGGTTGCAATACATAACCACCTGGTAGGCAACACTCTGTCCATATCATAACGTTTTCGATGGACACTAGAAAGGGGAAGAACATTCGATCCAGGTCTATGTCTGTTGTTTAGTTACCAAGTGAATTTTATTTGTCCCTTATGTATGCGATACTCTTGATATACAGGGAACCGTTCTGTGAAAGAGTTGAGTAACATCATTAAAGAACAACAACAACAACAACACGGTGTAGTGAGGTCAATTCTTTCACTTTTAAAGGATATGCTTTCTATTATTTACATACAGCACTGATCAAGTGTGACTACCAATGTTATCGAACTGATTAGTGGGCTCGCCATCGGTTGGTTTAAAATTCTAAAGATTTTACCCAGCCGAAGGGAATCGGCCAGCGAAGATATTACTGAAAGTATAGTGGATCAATTTGATACTGACAAACCTATTAACTGAGTATCTTTTTAAAAGAAATTATTATCACAGGACATTTGTCCAATATACAAGGTTGTTCAGTAATGATGGATACAATTTCCTTCATGTATATTTTCTTGAATATATTGAACATGGAATAATTTACAAACAAGAGAGGGAGTAACGACTACATTTTCGAAAACTAAATCTAAAGAGCTGTTGCCTAACCAACCACTCGAGTGCGCATGCTTGTACCACCAATGACCTTTCTGTTCAGTTCCGAGTAAGATGGCCACCGAGCAGCAGACGGCGACCATTTTGAACACGTATAACCTCAAATGTAAGTTTGTAAATTTTAGACCTCTCTCTCTCCCTCTGTCTCTGTCTCTGTCTGTCTCTCTCTCTCTCTCTCTCTCTCTCTCTCTCTCTCTCTCTCTCTCTCTCTCTCTCTCTCTCTCTCTCTCTCTTGCATATATATTTTTAATATATAATTTATGTTTGAGCACATATACATAAATGAAAGTTTATCCGTCATTCTTAAAAGCACTGTATTACAGAAGTAAGAAAGGAATCCACACTGTTTTATTTCTTATTAAAAAAAAAACAACAACAATTATTTGTCGTCAGATTCCACTGTTGCATCAGCCGCCGTGGGAATGAGCAGTTTGCAGTCCTTTGCTCAAAATGTAGCTCTGGCTACTGTTATTACCGCCGAAGTATGATGCCTTTAATGTCATCAAACCATCTTCCCCCTGGCGCTCTCTTGTGTTCACAGTAGATCATTTTAGGTGTAGCCATGTTTTGACAGTATAAAGTAAAGTTGCCTTTTCACGCCTCTAGGCGCATCGGGCATATGGGAAGAACACCAATATTTTTACCAACCATTCGAAATTAGGTGGGTAGTTTTGTAAGCGTTACGCCGATCGTCTTTACCTCCCCAGGACATACATCCTAGTACCTATTTTAGGCTGGGTCGACATACGACGCCACATACCATGATAAAAATCCACGCAGCCAGCAGTGGGTTTCGATTGTGGTACGTTGGAATAGCGAGTCAGATTCGTTATGCATAAGCCACGGACGCCGCTATGTGTTAATAACTGTGGCCTCCAGTTTTTCCCATAATTCATGTGCAATAACAGTTGAACAAATAAAGCTGCCGATCGTTGGACTTGGCGTAGGATCTCTCATTTTCGAACACTTTGATGTTAAAATGCTATACACTACAACATAATTACTGACAACGTAATTTACAACTACTGTACTCACAGAACCATATCTGTATTCTATGTCAACGACGGTTATTCCAGCTTTCTGTAGTAAAGGGGCGTGATCGGAGCCTGAACCAGGAGCCCTGATACTAGAAAACGCAAGCGGCAACGTATATAATATTTGATATATCTTCTTTAATTTTATTTTAATAAGTTTTAAGCAATTTTTTAAAATCGGATTTATTTAGGAATTAGAAATGTACATCATTTCACTCAGACGGATATTAATAGTTTATATGTGACTGACCATTCGCCATGTAGTAGTCTTCTGCCTCGTTATCATCATTGTTTCTTATTCATCTTTGTTGTTGTTGGTGGTGGTATTTATTAGTTTGGTTTTCCTCTTCTCCTCCATGTTCTGTTTGTTTTGTTTTTCTTTACATTCCGAATGGCAAATAGATCCTCAGCCATTAATTTTCAAAATTTATTAGCCGCAAATTACATTTTGCAGCCAAGGCTTGTTTTATTTTTTTATTTTTTTTTCTTAAATGAGCAATTCATACCATGACTCTTCAGTTGCCCCTTAAAAAAAAGTAGAATACATCGCGATTAAAATGTGCTTACCAAATGGACCCCTGCAAACACACGATCATGTTAGTTAAAAGAAAAAACACCTTCCATGAGCCAGTGGCCTATCGAGAAAAATGTGCTACAGTAAGTTCCAGAAGTTATGCCGAACTTTAAAAACCTGTAACTTAGTAACTATTCAGTGCAAGTTGTTGAAATTTGGCATGCAGCTTGTGAATAATAATGTAACTAATCTAAAAAAAAAAATGCAAACAACAGTTTGTGTGTGTGTGTGTGTGTCTTACTTGCAGTAAATGCAAAAATCAGACAACGATTAAAAAAAAACAACAAGCATGCTCACAGTAATTTGAGTAATGGGAACTTTACAAAACAGGAAATGCATGGGTGTCATATAAGTTTGACTCTCAGTTGGTTATCTTCACATTAGTTCCATGTAGTTGCATAATTTTCGTTGAGTGGGGAATAGGTTATAAAAATAGTCACCACGCATTGCTGCGTTTGTGAACTGATTTCCGAATAATATCTACACGTGTGTCAGTTATTGTAAATTCTTTTTTCTTCCCAGGAGTATAAAAATTATTCTAAAGATCATTACATATAAAATAATCACACCGGCTGCCTTTACTTCCCAGGACTCCACCTGGTATCCATTGAAGGCTGGGTCGACCTGGAGGCCAAGATCTTTTAAAAAAGAATTTGGTACCATCGAGACACCACGGCAGCTCCCGTTATACATAAACATAGTCGCACTATTATGTACGGGAGATCTGAAGATAGAGAAGTTTCATAGACAATGGAAAGAAAAAGCAATTGACACTTCCTGAGGCCACAGAGATATGTTTTGTTTTTGCAAATAATACATACAGCACACGCGAGGAATAAAAAAGAATAGTGAAGACGCTATGAACGAAAAAAACCAGCACTAGCATGGATTAGCTGGTATCTTTCCTTCTCTTCAGGCTATACTTTTATAACATTGAGCAGGGAATCATAGAAAGGCAGAGGACGATCAACAAGACACACTCGTGTTAAGAAGAGTCTTCCTATATTAGAGCATGGGATTTTAGGACCATTGTTCATAGCATGGGATTTCAGGACCATTGTTCATAGCATGGGATTTCAGGACCATTGTTTATAGCATGGGATTTTAGGACCATTGTTCATAGCATGGGATTTCAGGACCATTGTTTATAGCATGGGATTTCATGACCATTGTTCACAGCATGGGATTTCAGGATCATTGTTTATAGCATGGGATTTCAGGACTATTGTTCATAGCATGGGATTTCAGGACCATTGTTCATAGCATGGGATTTCATTACCATTGTTCATAGCTTGGTATTTCAGGATCATTGTTTATAGCATGGGATTTCAGGACTATTGTTCATAGCATGGGATTTCAGGACCATTCTTTATAGCATGGGATTTCATGACCATTGTTTATAGCTTGGTATTTCAGGATCATTGTTTATAGCATGGGATTTCAGGACTATTGTTCATAGCATGGGATTTCAGGGCTATTGTTCATAGCATAATATTTCAGGATCATTGTTCATAGCATGGTATTTCTGGACCATTGTTCATAGCATGGGATTTCAGGACCATTGTTTATAGCATGGGATTTCAGGACCATTGTTTATAGCATGGGATCTTAGAACCATTGTTCATGGTATAGGATATCAGGACCTTTGTTTATAGCAAGGGATTTCAGGACTATTATTCATAGCAATGAGGTTTTGTACTTCTCAGACACAAGCTCCTAACCCATTTGCAATCATTTTCTTCTTTGTCTTTTTTGCCTTTCTGATTCCCCCCCCCCCCCCCCCCCCGCGAAATGCAACACTTCTTGACTCTCTGTTTCCACGAATCCACCTCACTGTTGCTGTAGGATGGATTGTTAGAATAAGATGTAGCCCTCTTTCAACTATTGACAAATCAGTCAGCAGAAGTGGTAAGTAGCAATATATTAGGACAACACAAAAATAGAAGAGAGGTAGATGTATAGAGATGTGGATGAACATCACACATTTGAATAGCGTTTGCATTAGCCAGACCGCAACAGCGGCATTCAGGCATGTGAAGGTAACATTTTAAAGAGGGAGACTTCTCTAATGTGCATAGATGCGACATGCCAGTGATTTACCTGGGAACCGCTGTCTTGTCTCCTTGTGAGAAGTTCAAAGGTTGGTTGTATAACCAAGTATCAAAGACCGTGGATCGTCCAGCTTGAATCTCCTTGGGGTTTGGGTTCTTCACCTGTCAGTAGAGACTGAACTGTTACATTCTTAACATGCATGTAAAATATTTTATGGAAGTTTCTCTCTCTCTCTCTCTCTCTCTCTCTCTCTCTCTCTCTCTCTCTCTCTCTCTCTCTCTCTCTCACTCTCTCTCTCTCTCTCTCTCTCCTCTCTCTCTCTGTATATATATATATATATATATATATATATATATATATATATATATCTTTTTCTCATATTGTACATATTGTTATATGAACATAACATGCTTTATTGATAGAATTTAACTGCTGTGTGAAAGATGGGTGTCAAGAAGGCTTCCATTAATACAGAGCCGACACGTGACGCTCTGGTCCTAGGCTCACCCAAGGAATCGTCAGGTTCTGCCCATGATGCCTAATCTCACATCAGTTTACAGAACTTTCCAATCGTCACTGGGCACCCTTTGGGGATCAGCAGGGAGCAGCCCGCTGGTCTGGGACTTTGATGGCCACTCAGAAAGGTACATTTCTGTTTGGCACATTGAACACCTTTAAGGCTGTTTAATCTGGAAACCTAGCAAGACAGTGCGGACAAAAATGCATCTGTCAAGGCTCTTCTTTGCAGGTCCCGCACTCTGGCGAGTGGGCCAATGGTAATGGACATGTAAACCTTGCTGACAATTAGTAGGCCATTTTTCGGTCGGACATTCGGGACTTTTTTTCTGTTCCGGATGACACTTATGATACCGACACATATGCCAAACCCGCGTACTAGCAGGTTGTCGTGGTGTACCTCAGCGCGGTGACGATGATGTTGAATGTTGAGGAACAGCAAGGGATGTATGGAGCCAGGACTGTTTCGCGAGCTACCGCCCACCAGAGATGTTGCCTGTCTAGGCTGTGAGCTAATCTCTTGCTTTAAAGCTGAGTCTCAGCAGTACAGAAGTTCTTTCCACTCGACAGACGTTTTAACTGAGAGATGTCATTTTTTAGTGTATTTGGCCAGCGGTGGTTACCCATGTCCTAAATGAGCTTTGAAAGACGTTTTCACCCAGGCATGTGGAGTGGGCTCATGTGAGCGACACCGAGGTCAAACATCTCCAGAGACCACCAACTCTGAGATGCCCTGCCAGTTCGGTTCAGGTCACAAAGGGGAGCTCTTATCCGTGGCGCACGACGTGAACGTGCGGCAGGAATCTTGCGAGATGATCCGTCAAAGCATCAAAGAGCCGGCTGGCGCCCGAGGTTGGGTAAGAAGTAGTTCCTTATACACATCACAACGGCCTAAACTTTCTCTCACGCCTATGATCGATATCACGGCGTTTTAATATATACGCATGAAGCTCCTCGTACACACATTTAGAAGCTAGCTGTTACCTTACCGTCAATATACTCAATAAGGCTAAAAAAAAATAAAAAGTGCTTACTTGCTGTGCTGCTTCATAGACAACACTGTACATTAGTGGAGTTCCAGAGACGTCCAACGTATCATTACCTGGCGGAAAGACAATGCTTGTATTTGACATGACGATGATAGTAGTAACAGTGCCAAAGCGCGACAAATGTCGCAGCCATAAACTCCAATCAACCATAACAGATTTAAGCACTTTCCAATGTAGAGACACGGGTATAAACTGGTTAATTCTTTGACGTGCTCCTAAACTACGACAAGTCAGGATCATTTTTGTGCAAATTAAACCTTTCTTTAAAGCAGTGAAGAATTTCTTAACCTTTTTTTGGCTACTGTCACGAGACGACCTCAGTGGTTCCAGAAGTTAGTACTTGTAATAACCTCTTCTAGTTCTAAAGATATCTATTTACAATGCCCTTAACCCAAATATTATTAAAACCACAGGGATTTAAATGTTTCCAGTCCTTAGTCCAGACAAAGGACTGAACCTTGTGTATATATTACTTAACGTTATACTGTAGCTAGAAATTCCTTTCCCGTGCCAGTGTCAGAATGTTATCTCCTGACCAGACTGTAAAGGCGAGGAAGGGGGGAATAACCTTGTATCACACCTGAGATTAGCTCCCCTGAACCCGACCTTAGTGTTATAAAGGTTACATAACACAGACTGAGTGGGGCCTTTTGATCAGACTAGATCAGGGGAATTAAGTGGACTGGTAGACATTGTGGCGACGAGAGGCTGGAGTTCACACATGTCAGTGGAATTCTCGGGAGAACAGGTATTTGCCAATTAGGAATGTTTTATCTTGGTCAAGTAGGAAACACAATGGCTTCACTGACCGTCTTTTAACACCTGCCAGTTAGATTCGTTGTAAACTAGATTGGGTCACTTAAGAATGTTTGCTCTAGGGATGTCAGTCCAGAATTGACTGACAAGCATCTTGATAGCTAGGTTGATCTGATAGGTACCTCAGAGGCGTGGCTTAGGTCATCTTCTGGAGGGTTGGGTAGAACCTAGTAAAGGGAGGAGTTTAACCTTGCAGACAGATAGAGAGTATACTTCGAGCCTCTGGAGTTCATTTCAGTCACATCGCAGCCTGCCGGCAAACAAACACAGGTCGACGTAGAGGTAATTTTACGGTCTGATTCTGGTTTGGCGATTGATTGAAGGTTCCCAGGTAAGCTTGTACAATTAATTTTAAGCTTGTATACATAGGTTATGGAGTTACGCTTCGTCTATAGTACCTTTTCCTAATATATCTACACATTCTGCTTGAAATAGTTGTTTGTAAGTATTCAGTATCTCAAGTTAGGGAACTGCTAAACTATTCCTATTTCTTGTATGTTTGTGTCACATGTTTTTCAGTGTATGTTTTCATGTGTATAAAATAAGATGTGAACAATGACATTTGCTATAATTAAATGTAATTATATTGTTTCCATGATCAACCCAAAACATGGACTGTGGGAAATCATGCCCATATGCGCAGAGTTTTAATAGCTCACCATGTGCTCACTGGAAAGACAATATTTCAGACACCATGCACATATAACATGGTTGGAGTTTTCAGCACATAACCTGCCCCACGTGTTCATGTAAAAACAATGTTTGAAAGTCTGAGTGATGACGGACAACAGACTTAGAAAGTCAACTATCATGACAGAGCATGAGAGGGAAGGCAGGATATGTGACGCCCATGTAAGACAAAAGACCTTCAGACTAGACTGGAGAGAATGTGGAATATGAGGAGGAGTGATGGGATATATTTTGTTATTATATGTTATATTAATTAATACATGTATTCTTAGTGTAAGTCAAGATACTACTCGTATGTGTTTGTTTCCATGATTACAGAGCCCATGTGACGATCAGTCCATTAAGGAGACTACATTGTGTTAGACTCGGCCAGCTGGGAACGAGGTGGGGACGAGGAAGAGAAACAGGCAGGGAAGAAGCTGGAAGAGGAGGAAGAGCTTGACAGTGCTCACGGCTGTCAGAGGTTCTATGAAAAACAAGTTATGTTCATAAATTGTTCATACTTTATCACCTTCATCACACCACTCTAATCCCAGGTGCTGTTTTCTAGCTGAAGCATCTCATCACTATCATACCATTAGCCAGTCACTGTTTGTGTAAACACAACAAACTGGGAATGTCTTTGAACTGATTGTTAGAAAATAAAGCTGTATGTCAAGTTTTATACTACATCGTTTGTTAAATTCCAAGTGTATTCAGTCTTACCTGTTTAACTTAACTGATAGATAGAATTACATTTTGTGGGGGCTCAAATAATAATGGTAATAATTCTTTAATTAATAATAATAATACCGTGAGAAGGTGGGACGGAGGAGTCATTTGCCCTGTCTAATAATTCATTTAATATAATGATATAGACATCTAAAAGTTCTTTCCTTCTCTTGTGGGTACCAAGTGCGGCTAATGTTAATGTAATTAACGAGCCAATATGGCTGTTTTCTTGGATATCCAGGACTTTGTCTGAGAGCATCATAGCTCGGATATTAGTCAGTTAATCTGGTGGAGGGGATGTGTTGAGAGGAAAATCCCTACTCAACTTATAAAACATTAAATCCACCCCGTCACGACACAGCTACTTATTCAAGTAATCTGCCAACTGATGTTATACTAAAGATATTAATTAGCATGCACCACTTGACAACAAACAAACATCGGGATAACACTGACACAGATCTGAAGTTGATAAGGCCGACGCAATTGCACTACTTTACACCATAGAGGCCGGTCTCCCTCCACAGAACAGCTAACCACCTGCCAAAGCACCGTAGCTCCAACGACAATCCTGTGGTTATCTCGAAAGAAACTGCACTCCTGAACTGAACGATGCGTCTGTGAAACGAACACATGACCTTCAGGGCGCAAGGCAAATGGCTTGAACACTTCACCACGGAGACATTCATGGGCACTTGTATCATTAACAAATTAAAAAACAACAACACAGATTCAAGATCCGCTGGGACTATTGACATTTGTCAACAGTTTGAATTAAGAGTAAATGACCCTTGTCCATGTTATCAGGCGTATTGGGCATATAGGGCAACACCTATATTTTATAAACAAAGCGTGAGTGATCTGGTCAAGATCACTCCGGTCGTCTTTACTCCCCAGGACCGTACCTGGCACCCTTTTTAGGCTGGGTCGACCTGGGACCCAAGGTCATTTAAAAAAATGTCCAGTACCGTCAGGGCCTGAACCCACGACCTCCAGATCCGCAGCCGAGCGTCTAGCCGATACACCACGGCGAGTTCACACTGGGTAACAAGGAATCGTCACGCGACTCGTACAATTT